CTGAGTCAATATATATATATATACATTTCAAAACCGTAGGATCACTTTTTTTTTGCATCGAAAATTTTTGTCTGGATCTCTCACAGGCATGTTGCAAAAAATTAATGAATTCAAAATCATGTTTTAATTCCTTAGACATATTTCTTTCGGGCTTTTAATAAAATATCAATCGTTAAAAGCTTGTTTCTTATAGTGAAGATGATGTTTCCGATACATTAATTGTTTTGAAACATACTTTGCTAACTAAAATGATAATGTTTGCTCTTATTAATGTCGAGATATACGTGGCATATCACAGTGATAAACTACTGTGTTCTGATACGAAGTAGATCATATTTATAATGAAGATAAGCTAAGTTGTTACGTTCAGATTGTGGCATAGAAGATCTAATTTGCTTTCGTCTTCTAGACAAAGATTATCACGATAAAATTTTTTTCAGAGTTTCATTTCGCAGACCAAACTTCGCCATAAAAAATTCTCCACTTAATGAGTTCTATCAGACTGTATATGAAACATGTAACAGAAGCACTAAAAATACAATGAACCATTTTCTGGATGAATACATCTTCTGTCCTTTCAACTTTTCCTTTTTTTTTTTTCAACTAAGACTTTTCTTTTTGTATTTTAGAAATTAGAAAGCATATTACCAGCAAAACCAGTATTAAATGTTGCGTCAGAAGTAAATCTTGATGAAGCATCATCAATGATTGACCATCACAAAGAACCCCATTCAAATAAACATCGTGCACAAAAAGCCTATAATGACACTAATGAAGAGAATGATGATGATGATGATCAATATGTTGATGATGACGATGATGATGATGATGATACTGATCAACCTCAAGTTCATGCTTGTCAAACGCATTAAAAAAAAATAGTTCTTTTTCTTACTTAATCTCTTAATAGAACGAAAATATTTAAACTAAAAAAAACGAAAGAAAATAAATAAATGAACATTTTCACATGTTTTGTAGATTGCCATAAAAATTCATCTGCCTTAGATCATTATGCCGGATACAAAATTATATGATATACTTGGTGTTTCACGAAATGCGAGCGATCAAGAAATAAAAAAAGTTTGTTTACAAGAAACACTTATGAATTTAATTTGTTTGAATTTTTAAGGCTTATCATAAACTTGCTAAAACACATCATCCAGATAAAAATCCTGAATCGGCCGAAAAAGTAATTTTATTCAAGATTTATATAGAAAAAAAGAATTATTTTTTTGTTGTTGTTTTAGTTCAAAGAAATTTCATTCGCTTATCAAGTTTTAACAGATGATAATAAAAGACGTATCTATGAGTAAGATTTCAAGCTTTAATTTACAGAATATCATATATAATTTGTTGATTTTATTTAAAGCACCTATGGTCTTGACGGACTTAAAGAAGGTGGCGGCAGTGGTGGTGGTGGAGGTTAGTCATTTTATTTGAAAAATATCATATTAAAGAAGAGGAACTTCAGGATGTAAATACAACAGAAGTTTGTTATTGCATTCCACAGTTTTTAATAAATATTGATTTCCAAGATTTTTTTCCCATATTTTTCCCTTAAATAGGACTTCATGAAACTAGAAGAAACCTAAACAAAAGAAAGTTTCAGATGAAAAAAATGTTCCTTTTGAGGGATATTGTGAATGTTCAAAGGACGATTGTATTTTACAAAATCGACTTCTTTTTCAACATTTAGTATTTGAGGAAGGAGACATCCGTTTTCACTGAGACTTTGAGAACATTCTAGTGGCTATGAAACTCATCTATCAACAAATCTTCAGGTCAAGATTCTAGTAAAATGATCATAACTCGGGAAGAAAAGCCTAATGAAACAAATTCTTTTAAGCATATTTTAGTTCTACAGACTGCTACTTATGGGGAAAATATAAATTCAAATAGATGCTTTCAGCTTGGAATAGTCGCTCGTTAGATCCTACTTGAAAGTAAAGCATCGAAAACTCAACGTATTGTTGATTAAATTCATTAAGTGTCAGTAAATTAGTTAATAAATTGATGAAAGGAGAATTTTCTATTATTAAAGAAATTTAGACAGAATAGTCATCTAGTTTTATTTTGTAATAAGCAGTATATAGAATTATTTTAATTAAAATGAAATGCATCGAACAGTTCTATTATTAATAATATTTAATAGGTGTTAACTAACATATACTCACTTCGATGGCCACTATATAGGATGCAATCTTGTTTCTTCTTGTTAAAAAAGCATCGTTGTATTTATTTTATTTTCTATTATCTAGTCACATCTTATAAATTTTTCAATTCAGTCTATGAATTATTTCTGATGCTTTTTTTTTTATATGTATAATAATTGATTTGTTGAAAATCAACAACCTCAATAGTGTGCAACTAAAAGCACGTTAGACTTGTAGTTATGAGCTTAAGTTAGAATCAAAACTTGACAATCTTTTCTATGTGATTTGAAAATGAAATATTCGTGAAAGTTCTTATCAATGTTTTCAGTATTAAAAACAAATTATATTCCGATATTATTAACAACAAAATTCTGATCACTCACTGAAGCGTAGAATTCTATGCATTTGCATGTATGCACTAAGAAAAATAAAGTTCTTCTTTATGCAAACACTAATAACACTTGTATTCAGAATGAAAGGAGAGGAACAGCGTCCCTCCTGGAATTTTTGGTCCTTGTACCATATACTCTGTATCTGTACTTCCAACAAATGTCTTCGCCTTCTCAGAGTTTTAACATCGTTTCTCCAGATGTTATGGCACTTACATATGATATGCCATAAGGAAAAGTTGTTAAAGGTATTTTTCATATATGTTCGTTTTCTTTCGTTCTGTTAGACTTTTTTCCTATATGTTCTCTTGATATATTTCTTGACTTTTTTTTACTATTTCGAAATGATAACTCATGTATTTTTCTAATCCTATTATGTTATCTATTTTGGTAAATTTCACCTTTCTGCTAACATCTGATATAAATATCAGTTGTTTGTAAATAAAGGGGGTGGATGAAATTAAAGAGAGTAATGCGATCAGAGATCAAACATAATAAAACATCTACATGCATCAACGTTATTATCGGATATAACATCAAAACAGAAAATATTGATAAAACACTGATTAATAAGTTTGCTAAAATCGTCCATCATAGACGCCTTCATATAGAACATTTGTAAACACAATCTTTCTAATAGTGGCAATGAGAATTAAAATAACTTCAAGTATAATATGTTCAAGTTTACATCATTGTTTAGGTAGTATGGCAGATATCCTTGGTCAATTTTTCGGCGGTGATTCTCCTTTTGGTGGTCATCCTTTTGGAGGTTTATTCGGCCATTCTACAATGGGTGGAGGACGAAATCGACGACGTAAAGGCGACGATATTGCACATCCACTCAAGTATATAATCAATTTATTTTGATTTTAATTTTTCGAATTTATATTATTTATTAAAATAGAGTAACACTGGAGCAATTATATAAAGGTGATACACGTGCACTTGAAATATCTCGTAAAGTGATTTGTTCAACATGTAATGGGTAAGAAAAAAGTGTAAGTCTTCTTTTTTTGTTGTCGAATAATAAAATTGTTTTAGTGCCGGTGGTCGTGATGGTGCTAAGCAAACATGTACAACATGTCGTGGCCATGGTATTCAGATAATAACAAGACAAATAGGTCCAAATATGATGCAGCGAATGCAACAAGTATGCAAAGATTGTAATGGAGAAGGTAAATATGAAGATTTTCTTTTAAAATTATATAATAAAGAATATAAATTTGTTATCTTTTTTATTTTAGGTGACATAATCAATGAACGTGATCGTTGTAAAAATTGTCAAGGCAAGAAGACAATTGATCAAAAGAAAAAACTTGAAGTTGTTATATCACCCGGTTGGTTTTATAATATTTTAAATATAAAAATTTTTCAAATAAATATTTAATTTAGGTAGTAGACATGAACAACAACTTCGTTTTCCAGGTGAAAGTGATCAAGCACCAAATATGGAACCTGGAGATGTTATTGTTGTTTTACAACAAGAACCACATGCCACTTTTCAACGTAGTGGAGATAATCTTATTATGAAGCATAAAATAAATTTAGTTGAATCATTATGTGGTTTTCAACTTGTGATAACACATTTAGATGGAAGACAAATTGTTTTAAAACATCCACCTAATGATCCAATTGCACCAGGTTTATTTATATTACTTATTGATGTAAAAGAAAATGTTTTTGTGTTTTAGAAACATATCGATGTGTAAAAGGGCAAGGGATGATTAATATGCGAACACATGATACAGGAGATCTAATTATTCAATTTGATGTTGAATTTCCTCCAGAAAAATCTCTTATTGATCCTCATATACTCAAGGTAAATTCAAATTATTGTGTTGTTTTGTTTGTTAATAATTTTTATCTTCTGTTTTTATGTTTTTTTATAGAAACTTGAATCAATTTTACCGAAACGTTCACATGTTGAAATTCCAACAGGTGAACATGTCGAAGACGTACATATGATTGATTTTCATACAACAAAATCAGCACATGATGATCGACGCGGTAATCGTCGAGAAGCATATGAAGCTGGTGATTCAGATGATGAAGGTGGTCATCCAGGTGTTCAAACATGCAGATCTCAATAAGAAAAATAAATTAAACAAGAACATTTCTCGTCTTTTTTTTTCTCTTGGCTTTTCGGTATTTCAAACAAAAATCCAAAACAAACGAACAGAAAACATCCATTTTTAATAAATAAAATTTTGTTTTTTGTTTGTTGTGTTCTATCTGTCTCGTTTCTTTTCCTTCTCAAATTTACTTATTTTGCATTTGTTCGTATTTCTATTCCCCCATGTTTGGATGTTTGTTAAATAAACAAATCCAAAGATGAAACTTTTTCTACTTAAGAGAACGATAACTCATAAGAAAGAGGGAGAAAAAGAAAAGAGATAAGAAATGAAACAAGGTGAGTGCAAGTGTTTTTGTTTGTCTTTATTTTTTGCAGATCTTCATGATGAGTGACGATGATGATATCGACTTTACATCGACCAATCAAAGGTTTAAAATTTTATTTAAAAACAAATAAAAAAAATTTTTTTATTTATTTTTCCATAAAATAGTTCTAGAAATTTGGCTTCGCTTTTTCATGGCAGTGAAACAGCAGCAGCACCAACTGTTGCGTATGTTCCACCTAAACAGCCTAAAAAAGGTATATCTCAAACGAAAAGAAAACAACAAAGAAGATCACATGATTCTTTTTTCTTTGTCACTTTTATTTATTTTTCGTTTTTATTAAAGATTCTCCACCGAAGGTCATGACAGCAACTGCTGTTCAAGCATTTTCATTGTAACTGCAGATGATTTTTTAATTTTTAAAATTTCTATATGAATATTTTAGTGGTGCCGATCAAAAATGGACACCACGAGGAAAAATGGGTGTTGCTATTATATCAACGGATAATACTATATTTCAACTTATTCTATATTTGACAAAGACTCAACATATTACATCGGCTCGTATAAATACTACATCGGTTTTTACAGTAAATTTTAATTGTTGATGTTTTCTGTTTTTATTGTTATTTAATTAAATTATAGTGTCAAGCAAATAATTATTTAGCATTTCAAGATGATGGTGGTCAAAATTGGTCAATTATGTTTGAAAGCAAACAAGCACTTACTGATTTTGTTTTACAAGTTATTAAACATCTTATTTCATTTCGAAGATTTAAAATTTTCGTTTAGATTGTTGTGGCAAAAGCTTATTTATTTTTATTTAAGTTTGATCATATTATACAGGATGTTCGAGAAGGTGAAGGTTCAGCTTTAGTCGATCATGATAGTGTAGAAATAACAGTTAATCAATATAAGTTACTTGAAAATGGAACAGTTTCATCAATTGATGTAAAAATTCTTTTTTTATTTCTTATTAGCGAAAAACTTTCCCTTCCTTAATTAGGCCGGAGAAAATAAGCCAGTAAGATTTAAAATTGGTAAACAACAAAATGGCAAAGTAAATTTCCAAAAGAAAAAAAAATATTTTCCTTTTCTTATAAAATCATTTTAGGCATTTGATGAATCACTTCGTGGAATGAAAAAAAATGGTCAACGTATCACAATGATTGGAACAGCACTTTACAATATAGAAGTTACTCGTGTAAGCTAGTGGAAGGAAGTTTAACAGCAACGTCTTTTTTATTTGTTTTTATTTTATAATGCTAAGTATCGGACTAGCTAATGGCGTTTTTTACCTGATGCATTCTATGCCAAGGCATCATAGATGAAATATGATGGCAAGATTTCTAAAAAAAGTCGGACACAATTGGTTTTCAATCCCTGAAGACAATTTTTAGCGATGTCCTCGTGAAAAGAACAAAATGAAGAGTCGTTGTATTTTCTGCGGACTTCTCTTAGAAAGTTAAAAGTATCACAAATAAACACATAAAATGTCTCTCAGTCGATTTTTTGATAAATTTCATTTATTGTGATACTTTTAACTTCTTAAGGAAAGATTATAGAAAATGTGGCAATCCTTGGTTTTTTCTCTTTAAAATGGCATTGTTAAAGACAAAATTTTCTCGTGCCTAAAAATTATTATTTTCAATTTTTAAGAAACCTTCCCATCACAGTTCATCTTCGAAATTTCGCTATAGAATGTAATTAGATAGAAAATTTTGTTGGGTATTAAAATCACTATCTGAATTTGAGCTAATAGCTTAACATAATAGAAAAACAAAATAAAAAATACATTGTTGCTAAACTTGTTTTCACTATCTTATGTTATTTAGAATTTTCTTTTTCAACTAAATGAGTCCATATTTTTCTTTCTTTTTTTTATAAATTAGATCAAACGGGAAAAAGATACACGTACTGGTTCAATTACAATGCCAATAGAAGAACAAACACCAAATGAACGAAAACGTACAATTACAGAAGAGAATGAGGTTATTTGATTAAGATATTGCTTTATAATTAGGTTATTAATTTTTATTTAAAGTCTAATAATGAAAAAACTAAAATGTTACAACGTATTAATAAAATGGGTGGAGTTTCAATGCTTCCTAATGCAAATCAAACAAGTGCATTTGCTACTCCACTTCCACCGCAATTACCATCATTAAGTGATGATGATTCAATTAATAATGAATTAATACAAAATGTTGTATCAACAAGACCTGTAAAAAAAACAAAAAGCTTTTTCTTGTTATTTATTTATTTTTATTAAAGGTTCCAACAGCAACAGCACTACCACCACCAGTTCAATTTGTACCGCCTACATATCATCCTCATCCTCATATTCATCAGTCACCACCTCAACCTTTAATTCAACAACCAACTTTATATTCAGCTCAACAACCATTACATGATTATAATAGTCGACCTGGTAAACAATATCTATAGATTATAATTTTCATTTTCATTTTCATTTTATATTTCAAAGGTTCATCAATGAGTGGAATGGCTTATCAACAAGTATCAATGTGGCCTCCTTCACAATATCCTCAGAATACGCCTAGTGGTAATATATAGATTTTCTTTTTATTAATTAATCCTTTGAATAGCACTTCTCGAGTATGATAGTTAGTGACTTCTAAATTTATATGATTCTTGTTGTCACCAAATATTGATCATTTAACAAGATTCGTCCTACTTTCTCTGAAGTATTCTTCAGATATGAGTATCCCATTTCTTTTCCGTAAGATGCTGCTAATTCATGATTCAAAAGACATGAAAGCTTTTCCTTTTCCACAAAACTTAGTACTAACATTCCTTTGTCTATTCAGTATGAGATTGAAGTGTTCACTTTGCATAATCACTGAAATAGAGCTATTTTACGATCGAGAATACTCTTTGAAGTATGAAATTTCTTCCGAAAAATGAAATTCGTATCCCAACTTAGCAATGTAACTTTTCGTTTCAAAACTGCATTCGATACTCTAAAATGTCTTTAGATTATGCACATCAAATCTGATGATTAACTATTAGACGATTTAAGAAAATCATTGAAAATGAATATACACTATAGAAAACATACGTTTGTAGACAAATATGCGAAACGAAGAGTTATCCATTCTAACATATATTTTGCGTAGAAACCTTCAAATTAATTACAATTCATTGTCATGATCATGCGTAATCGTGACCGATAATATTTGAGCAAATGAGAAATAAATGTATTTCACAGTAGTAGATTTAGATGGGGATTAGGACGATTGTCCATTCCCTCCGAAAGATTTTTCTTAACAGAAAAAGTTCAAAAATATGCTGATAAGACCTCTGATAGACTTCAAAAAATGTTTTGTCACCATGATCGCTCCATGCGGTCCCAAAATAAGAAATCTGCCACTGATATTTCTTTCTAATTTCAATTGAAATAGAACCATTGAAAAATTTTATTATTTTCATATTTTATATTTATTCCTTATTAAAATTAAAAAAAACATTTATACAAAAAGAAAACAAGATTATTTAATAGAAACCACAACTTAACTATTGTTTTGATGTTTACTAGCTTTCTTTCTCACGTTCATAATCATCATTCAACGATTCATATTTATCTCCTTTATTAATTTAAACTCTAGTTGAAGTATAATTTTTGTCATCGTCTTTATGTTTATCATCACGTTTTCTTTTTGACTGATATGTGAAGACGTGCAAACAGGTCACAATTCACGATCATGCATGACCATGACTGAAAATCTCATGTTCACACAGGCCTCTACTTAACCCTTTCTTTTCCATTGCTAAAATTTAAGATCTAGAACTGAAATTCATCCAGCATTGTGATCACAATACTCCCTAATACTCACACGTAAAGTTTGAATCACATTTATTAAGTACACATATAGTTAACGTATTAAATGTTCAGTAAATTCTATTTTACAGAAAAACTTATAAAAGTTAAAACAAAATGGATAAAATGATACTCCTATGATTAGCATACGAAACCTGCATTCACTTCGTAAAACATCATTTATTGTAGTGTGTCAATAGAGTTTGGAAGATCTATTCTTTTAATTGATGATATCATTGGAAATGATTACTTTCGTCATAACAAAGCCAAACTTTACATTTCTTCCAATATGTGCTGATTCTTTTTCGTGTTTCTTTCGAAGTGTTTTCGGTCTTTCCTAATTCGTTCACCTATACGTATATTTGGTGACCATTTCGACAAAAAAGGAGAAGTTCAATACTAATCTGTTAGCTCAATAGCGCTTCAACACTGTCTTATGGCACAACTCTAGCCCATATCATAGCATAGTATATTTGTCTGAGTAGCAAAGTTTCAATATGTCAAGAGAACGAAGCTTCAAAAAAAAAGGCACCTATAGTTTGTCATTGGGAAAGAAAGGGTTAATACAATGCTGTTAGAAAGAGTTCATACTCACTCTAAACTCAAGTCATGTTATTTATTTTGTGTTTTTCTCACTTGTCTAGATATAGGGAAGATGATCCTGGTCCCAATCTCGTCAGGACTAGGATCAACATTTTTTCATTGGGAGTAATATATATTATGGTCTTGTAACACTCGCCTCAAATGCCATATTTTCACGACTTATGTGTTCTAAAAGTTTTTTGCAGAAATTATTGACTAACGGTCACTTCAATATTTCTTGTTACAATTTTGATATTAAAATCAATCCTATTTTCATAAATAACAGAATTGTCAAACACATAAACGTACTGAATAGACAAAGTATTAGTGAATATAGAAAAGTAATGAGCTGACGCTACTAGAAAATAATATCGTATCTTTCGATAGTACATTTCGTATTAAGCGTGAAACCAGAACGAAAATTTTTTTTCTGACCGGGACCAAAAACGATTGATCTCATTCATCTTTACACGTGCCATATACTTCCAAGCAAAATGAATAACATATTTGACAAGAATAAACAAAATTGTATCGTCACATTGCGATATTTTTATTTGAATTGAAGAGTTATCTAAAGATTATTAAAACTTGAAAACGATTATATTTTATAAAAGGCACGGATCCTAAAAAAATGAATTAACTTTACATATATAATTATAGTAACACCAACGGATGCGTTTTATCAACAACAATACTTTTCAAGTGATTTTCGTCAATTATTTCATCGACTAACTGAAAAAGTCGATATGTTAAATGAAAAAGTATTTTTGCTTTTTAAAACAATAAACTTTTAAAAGAAAAAGAATACAATGATTTAGTTTGATACTAAAAATTCAACATCATATCCAAATATGGAAACAAGTATTCTTCTTACAAATATTCAACGAATTATTAAAGTATATTTTGAAGATTTTATTGATATTTTTGTTTTCTTCTATTTGAATATTCTTTTTTTCTAGGAAAATGATAATATGAAAAAAGATTTATTCGATCGTAGTGCAAAAATTGAAGAACTTAATCTTAAAATATCTGAATTACTTGATAGAAATCAAAAGTAATTATTTTCTTTTTCTTTGTTTATATTTAGTTTTTCATTATTAAACTAAAATAGATTGATTGAACAAACATATCAAACGGCTGAACAACGAAATGTTGTTGTTAATAATGTATCCGAACAAACTGCACAAAAAATTCTTGATTTAGAAAAACAAAAAGTTGAATTAACAAATAATTTAAGTATATCAACAAGTAGAATAGCTGATTTACAATTACAGATAAATAAATATACACAAGATACTAATGATAATCAATCACGTTTGAATACATTAATGCATCAATGTGAACAATATAAAAACGATTTAGAAAAATCTGAAAGTCAACGTTTAGAAATTCAAATGAAATTCGATTCAATTCAAGAACAATTAAAAAATGAAAAAACTATTAAAAAACAGATACAAACCCGTTTGAATACACTTGAAGAAGAATTAGCTGAAACTAAAGTTACTTGTACTAATTTAGAAAAGGTAAACAAGATTATGAGAGAAGTCACCCAACTGATTAATCGTTTTTGAGTCAAGACTATGTTCACTATGTGAATGTAAATGAGCGATGAATACTCTAAAAAAGAGTTCGGCTGGTCAGCTTATTGTTGCGTAAATACTGGATTTTTGCGGTATTTTTAAATGAATGCCGTATCCTCCTCAGGAACATTCAAAAAACTGACTTTCGAATTTCGACTTGAAATTTTGCATAGAAGCAGGTCTTAATGAGTATAGTTTATTGTGGAAGTTTCTGATCACACCGTTATACCTATCGAAAAATATAGCTATGGTAAACGTGTGTCTTTTACATCACTTATATGCAATGACAGATTCCGATGTTCTTATTTTAGGATAAAAGCAATGTAAAACATTTGAAAGTTTCACCATAAACTACTTTCTTGAAAGTCTGTCTTTGTGCAAAGTCTCAAGTTGAAATTCAAAAACTACTCTTCGTGGTATTCCTATGGGAGAGTACGGCATTCATTTAAAAATTACCATAGAAATGCAGTATCTACACAGCAACAGACTAAGATTTTGAATTCTTTTCAGGATATTCACATATCACTTCAGGTTACATGGTGCATATAATCTTGACTGGAATGATTTATCTGTCGAGGAAGGTTCTCATCGTTATTTCAATCATTTTTTACGAAGGAACCCATCTAGCTGATAACTTCTCTTTGAGCTCATACTTTGCTCATAGGTAGGACTCATAGTGTAGATAAATATTCCGAGAATGTTCATGTCAATAGACCTCTCTTCTCGACTTATGGTCATTTTACTGAACTTGTAATCTGTTGTAGAATGTCACGAGAAAAGTCGCAATAAGAACTTTAGGCCTGAAACTCTTTCCAGTAATAGCTCTCATGGCGCTTATGGTGTTCGTAAAGCGTTAGCTTCAAATAGATGTTGTCTTTTTAAGATATAGTATGCCTACTGAGTAGACTATTTTTCGAACTCGTGTGTAAAGGTAACTTTTGTTGGCAAACATGTTATCTCAAAAGGGTAACATCCGTTTTAGCTGAAACGTTGAGAATACCATAAGGACTACGAGAGTTATTGTTGAAGAAAATTTAACACCGAAACCGTTTTTTCCAATTTTTCTTGTAATATCCTGCAATATGCTGAAAGTTCAGTAAAATGATCATAACTTGAGAAAAAGGTCTGCTGGCACGAATCTTTACAGGATTTTTTCTATACTATGAATACTTCCTATGAATAAAATATGATGGCAAACGAAAATTATCAGTTGGATAGATTTTCTCTATTTATATAAACGCAGATCATAAGATCTTATGTCAGTCAGTATTTTAATAGTCTAGTTCATTCAATATTTCTAATTGTTTTGATCATATTTTATCAATTAGGCTCAGTTTTATTAATATAGATTTTAGAAACATTTGTTCGATCTTATCTACTCAAATTAATATTCAGTGCTTGATGTAAACTCTTCTTTTCGAAACAACAGTTTAGAACTTGAAATGGATGAGCATATACTTTTATGAGAACAATTTCATAATTATAGAGATAATGAATATGCACTTCTGAAAAGCAAACTCGATCTTTCACAGTGTGTTATGCTCTGAATTTCCATGCTAAATAAAACATTGTTAGTATCAGTCACAGAAAGTCCTAAATGATTTTCTGTCTGTTATCGAAGTCTAAAGAAAATTTAAGTAATCGTTAACAAAATCGAAAACTTAATATCGCAATTTTTCAATTTCCTTCTAAATATTCCTTTTTTGATGAATAGTTTTAACTATGATACTGTCAATCTATTCTGTATTCCGTCAAATCTAAACTAAATTGAAATAAAACTTTACTGTTTGAATCATTTTAGACTCTTATCCGTTCAAAAGTCTAAATAGAGTACAGCACGGGTACAACTTTTCGTACCCGTACCCTACCCGTACCCGTCAAATTTTTACCCGTACCCTACCCGACCCGTAGGTTCCAATTTCCTAGAATCTTCTCCTATTCCCGGCTCGCAACCCACACATCTGGAATAGAGTAAACCCCTCCCCATAATAAAAGGCCACCCCATATTAGAGGACCACCTCCATTANGAGCGATTTCTCATAAAAACAGTAATTTTTGTCTAATTATTAATTAATATTTACGAAAAATTAAATATTTTTGTAATTAATTAATTAATTAGTGCATGGCCTTCTAATAGGGCTAATGAACTTTTGTTCAGACATGGCCTTCTAATGGAGGTGGTCCTCTAATATGGGGTGGCCTTTTATTATGGGGAGGGGTTTACTGCACGGGTACAACTTTTCGTACCCGTACCCTACCCCACTCGTATCCAACTCGACCCGTACCCTACCCTACCCGTAACCAACTGTACCAGATACCCGCGTCGGGTTCGGGTACCCGACCCGCGGGTTGCAGTACTCTAAGTCTAAACTTATATCAAACTTAAAATCTCCAGAAACTGATAAAAACTAAATTTGTATAAAATATGACCGTCTTCAGTAAATCATCAGAATACTAAATTGTATTTTAAAACTATTCTATCATAAAAATTCCAATAAAGTTGATATTTTCTATTGAAATAATTGTATCATTTAAAAACTTCTCACTTCATAAAATGAACAAAGTTTTATTTTAATAGATACACAATGAACGAAAAACAAAATTTGAAAATGAACGTAAACGATGGCAAGATGAAATCGAAGAACAAAAACAATCATATGAAAAAGAATTAGATGAATTACGAAAGAAATTACGTAAACAACGAACAGCTGATAGTTTAACCAATAATCAAGAAGTTTGTTTTACTTTTTTTTTTCCTTATCGAAATTAAATAAGAGATATTCTTTGAATAGATTAACCGAATGGAACAAGATTTAGAACGTGAATGGCAAGAAAAATTTGATCGACAACAAGCACAACACGAACGTATATTAACTTTAAAAGGAAAAGAATTAGAACAATTAAAAACATCTTTCGATCAAAATGAAATTAAAGTGAATCGAATAGTTTTTTTTTTTTTTTTCATTTTTAATTTATTTTCATTTTGTTTTCATAGTTACAACAAGTAAATGAAGACTTGAAAGAATCCCAACAACAAATTGAAGCTTATCAAGAACGAGTAAACAACAAAAAGAAAAAGCACGAATCTTTTCTCTTTATTTGTTTTTATTTTCTTTAGTGTGAAAAACTTCAAGAACGTATTTTATTAATGAAAGAAAAATTAATCGAAATCAATGATGAACAACCACAATTAATCAATGAACAAGTTAAACATACAATTAATATTATATTTCAACGTTTAAAAGCTCGTATTCGACCAACAAAACAATATACTGGTGAACAATTTCTTACACGTTCACTTGAAATTATTAAAAAAGCAACATTAAAAGTTTTATCAAGTAATGATGATGAACAAAATGAACATTCAACAGATGATGTTGAATCAGATGATGAAAATGAACAAATTCAAACAACAGTTGATATTCAGAAAAATGATCAACCATTAAATGGAAATTCTGTTGATCAAAATACGTTAAATGAAGAAGTTTCATCAATAGCAATAAATCAAAATGAAGATAATAATTCGAATCAATCGGAAACAACACCACCATTAATAAAAAGTCAAAAAAATGGTTGGGATACTGTGGATGATATTCAACTGGATTCAAAAACTCAATCTGAAACACTTGAACAAAGTCAAATTGTTATAGTTGCTGAAGATACAACGACATCAGCAGGTATTGAATTTTTAAATAATTATTCTCATATTGATATGAAATCAATATGCCGAAAGACGGAAGAAAGATAATCAGTCATTCTAATTAGCATATAATGATAATAGGAGTTCTTTTTGAAGATTAATTTCATTTTAAATAGTTATATCCTTGTACATGATAATACTTTTCCTAAACTGCTGTTTATTATCATGTAAAATATAGTAAACGAGTAAAGTTTGAAAATAATAATATGTAGTGACTATATGATAATTTTTGTCCAGCATATTTATTCATTGATGAACTTTTAGCTTCTGATGGTGTTATCTACTTTTCTTAGATTTCTATAAATCAGTCAGTTTGTGACATGAACACTTTAGCCCCAAATGTAAATTAAACACTGTTCAACAGATAATCCTTATGTTCCAAGTTCTCATTCTGTGTTCCCCCCCCCCCCCCCTACCTTCATTGACTTATTGTATAAAAATTATCATTCTTCTTCGAATAATTTTTTTTCAATTTTTAAGTGAATGAAACTGAAACAACATTATCAAATCCTTTGATTGAGAATAATGAACCAGCGCCTTCTCCTGAAACTGTCAACGAAGAACATGCTGCTGATGGTACAAACGAAGAAATTGAAAAGAATGACAAAGAGCTACCACCGGAATTGAATACACAGGAAGAGAAAAATTTAAGTGATGATGGTAAATCATAGATTTTTCGTGCTTTCCGTATAGATTTTATTATTCATGATAGAAAATGCCGGCGAAATATTTCAATCAGCTCGTCCATCTGCTCAAGACACTGTTTCAGCATCAACTTTTACACAACCATCAGCACCTTCAAAAGTATATCTCCTAATATCATAGATTTATTCATTTTATTTTTGCTTTTTGGCTTTTCTTTTCAGTATACATTCAATGAAAGCATTCCATTGATGGCAAATTCTGATGATCCCGAAGATGATATTTTTAACTAAATACATGCCTTTAAAATGTCTATCGATGTGCTTTTTTTTTCTTGATTATAAATCGATATGACATTAAGTAAAATTAATATTTCATTTTTTTTCCGATATTTAAATCAATGAAATTCTTTTTTTTTGTTTGTTAGTCTATTTTTTCGATAATTTATCTCAACAAAAATATACGCAATATCTTTCTCTATTGTTTTACATACATTTCAATTTAAAGAAAGACCGAAATAAATATAACATTATTTGCTTATGAAAAATGTTTGAAATTCAATGTTAAAGAAAAGATTTTTATTTTCGAAACATCTTTTTAGCATCTATTTTTTGTTCTCTCATAGGACACTGTAATCATGCTGTTTTTTTTCTTTCTTTGTTACTTTTATCTTTTGGCATAGCAACTCTGAGAAAGAGAATAAAATCAGGTGTTCATGACTTTTATACTCTTTAAAAATGCAAAATTATTAGACTGATAAAATTTCTAATTAGTAATTTTTTAATTGAATAGAAAAATGAATTTTACGCTCACAAAAATAACAATTTAAAATTGAAATGCCTATTTACTAAACATAGAATGAATAATATTCACGTATACGCCATTTCAAGCAAAATGGAACATGTCATCCATCTTTTATTTGACTTTGATTTTTTGCGAGAGTTATTTGTCTGAATAAGTTCATTTGACGTAGACAGATTTAAAAATGTTCACTAATTCAGTTGGTTATTAATTAAAGAGTAATTGGCGACTATTTTTCTAACCATATGAGAAAAACATCAGAACAATTCTCAATAGACTCGACAGTACGAGCCATGTCTAAAATAAGGTAACATTTTCAGCAATATCAGACTACAAAAAACTTCCTTGTTAAAATCGATTTTTTCAACATCCTATCAAGTCCAGATAACAAGTTTTTTTTTCTTACCATCATCGAGAGACTCTGAAGAAGGATTTTTACCGCTTGAAATTTGTTTTCAATTTCTCGTTTGGTTATAAGAGCATTTTTTCGTACTCCGTCGTGCTGCTAATGAAATGTTAATCGACCTTTTTTTTCGGAAAAATCTAGCTATGCTCAGAAAAACTTTTGATACAGATTTTGTAACTTTACGGGTTGTCCACAGAATGTACTATTCATTTTTCAACAAAAAAAATGCCTCAATTCGGAGTTTTTTAAAACTAAAATGCATACGATGAAAATCGGTGTTATTCTTTATGGCACGTCGCTCATGCTAGTTTTTTATTTTTTATCAATGAGACCTTTACATAAAAGGCTCTAACACTGATGTTTTCAGAACATCTTCAGTAACTTAACATATATGTAACATATGCAAAATTAGATCAAGAAAAGTTCATTACCCCGAGATATACGTGTTTTAATTTTTCCGAAGTCATGTCGTCAAGGAAGGATTCGCCCTACATAAAGATTTGACTTTTTATTAATAAAAAAATCATTAAAATAAGGTTTTTGTCCTTTTACATTGGTAGAACATTATAATCAATATTAACACCATATCGATGAAGATACTCAGGACCTTGAAATTTAAGAATAATTTCATAATTTGAATCAGAATATTGAATAAGTGTTTTATCTTTAGTCGTTACATCTGTTTCTTGATTATTAAATATTCGATAAACATGTGAGACAGCTGACATTAGTTGTTCATTATCGAGATAGATGCTATATGGTTCATGTTGGTGTGTAAATGGTGTTTCAATCATTAATGTTAAATTATTAAGTGGATAAGACCAAAAAAAACTCGTCGTATTACATTTTGCATAATCAGTGTCAGTCAAATTAACAATACCTGAATTACAATCACCGCCAAATTGTACTACAGCCATACATGTATCAAGTTTATCAACTAGAGCTTGACATGTATGAATAACATTACTCTCAACAATTAGAACAGATGTAAAAAGTAATAAACAAATGGATGAAAAAGCAGATAACATTATTGATAAGTGTTTAACTATAACTTGTATCTTGAGCTGCTTTTATATAAAAATAAACCAAAAATAAGTCAGAAGAACTAACGGCGAAATTTACAAAAAAAAAAAACAAAAAAGAACGAAAAAATAGCAGGTGCATATGATTACAGATAGAGTATATACTGATTACACTAAGAATATTTTGCTTGATCAGTATGACTCGATTTCTTTTTAAGAAGATCGAATATTGTTTTCATTTTTATGAAGAAAAAACAATAAGCCAGTTTTTAATAATTCATATCAATGTTTAAGAAGAAAAAAATGATTTTATCACAGGTATACTTATATTATTTTTATTTTGTAGAAAATATCCTTAAAAAAATAAAATTGTTTAGTTTCTACAAAGTTATTTTTATTTCGAAATTTAAAGTTGAACAAATGTTAATCTTTGAAATTTTGTTTTCTTTGTCCGAGCTATTCTTACAATAAGATTCATTGTCTCATTTGTTTTTATATAATTAACTCTTGAACTTGCAATAATTGTTCCTTGATCATCAACAAAAACATCAGAAACTCGAAGTTGATTTACTCCAAGTCTGATACCATAATCGACAATATTCGTCATATCTGTACATTCAATATTTCCACATGCAATAAACATATATAAAGGTTTATTTGATGGATATTCTGAAGCAATAAAATGAAAAACAGGTAAATCTGTATTTGGATCAATAACATGTTGAACTTGAACTCCAAATAATTTTTGTCTTTGTACCATTCTCGAAGGAATTACATATTGTGATTGAATTGATTGTGTACAATCAGGATCAAGACAACGAATATGAGTTATATCTTAAATAAGAATTTTCATTTTCATATAAATAATATTAAAAAATTTATCCGATTGTGATGTTTGTCCATTGGTTGATATAGAAAATCGAAATTTTGAATCAACAGCTAAATAAACAAAGTAAACTAATTCTTGATTAACACTAAATTGAATTACAGATGTTTGATTGCATGATTGTGTTAAACAGTGTATTAAATTTAATTCAGGTCCACATAGTGTTAGCCAAGATGGAAAGCCAAAACGATTACGTGCTACATCAATACTTGTCCCTTCACAATAAGCTTTTCCTGTCAGATTAAATGGTAATGAAATACGAGAATAAGCTAAACCTTGTTTACATAATGGATCTTGGCATATTTGAACTGTATAACCTGTAACACGATTATCTACAGATGCATAACGAGCTTCTGGTATGATCATTATAGGTAAACCTTCTCTAGTAAATGTTAAACGTAATCCTGCTTGACCAAATCCTGGACTATTCACGGTATTTTGAATCAATGGTTTGTTACATTCAGGATCTGATGGTAAGCACGTGACTAATTCAACATTGTTATTCGGCGTTTGATAGCCTGGTGATAGATAAAATTGAGTACCATTAATATAAGGAGAATACTGTTGAATACGCCGAGGAGATATTCCACCGAGTGCAAATTGAGCTGAGTATAGACCAGGCATAGAAAGAGTCGAAATTTCCAAACAGTCACGTGTACGACATATAAATACTGTCGGAGTATGATTATAACTATATTGAAATATTGATGGACGTTGATCGGGTGTTAATGAAGCTGAAAAATCTGTATAAAAACTTTCAGGATTAATAATCCAACTTGTACTTGATATCAATGAATATGGAGAGAGTGATGATTCACTCCATGAAATAATAATCAATAGAATAATAATTCGATACATTGTATTCAAGAATGAAAAAACCAAAAACGATTTATAACTAATGTCATAGTTTAATAAATAAAAATATTTCTAAAAATGAGAATATTAACATCTGTTATTAATTACATTTGAAAAAAATTTATCTTATTTTTCTCCTAATATTCACTATTTGCCGAGAGAATGTTTTGTATTTATGGTTTTAATAATGAACCTTTCTAATTGAATTTCAAATTAAATAGTAATCGTCTACAATAACTTTATTCTTAAATACGATTACTACGTCATATTTTTCTATATACTTATGGAAACAATCTTTCAATATATATATATATTAGAATCATGTCTCAATCAAAGTGAAAGAAGTATGCTATTCTAAGACATGTTAAAATCTATAAATGGAATATAGATTACGTGTATGATATACGCAAAAAAATTATGTATTACAACTTTTTAAAAAGAAAAGTTCTCAAATAATAGTCGATATTTGAAATCTTACATAATATGTTATGTTCATTTTTAAATTGTTAAAATAATTTTTTATTTTAAAATAAATGTTTACTTTTAAAATTAGCTTTTTTTAATTTATATATATCAACATCGACTTTATTGTGAAGATCATTCTGAAATAAGAAAATTTTCTTCTTTTTTTTTTCTTTATATACAGTAACTTCCAAAATGGTTCGACTACGTTTATTTTGAAATATTTTTCACTGACATAAAAGCTAAAATTTTATTTTCGATAAAAATTTTTGAAAATGATCACTAGTTTATCAGGAACATCACCTATGGAAAAGTAAAAATGAGTGTTTCAGCTCCTAGATTTCTGTTTGAGTTATTCCGAATGATTGATCAAATAATTATCTATTAAATGAATTGTCTTCCAGCTCTCAACGATGTTTCTTTGACCGAGATATATCAATCTTACCAGCAGCATAAAAATGTTACTTTCGTATGAGATCAAAGAAAAAATTAAACTACTTTTGCGCATTTCATAAAATGGATATATACATCGGTCGAAAAACCACCTCAAGGTCAGCTGAAAGACATTTCATTTTGTATAGAATTATTTGCTCTATCATTCTAAGTAGGTCAAATAGAATTCTAGATATTGAAAAACTTGGTTTCGAGTTTTTTAAAGACTTTATATTTGAAAAGCTAACAATCATTTCCTTATGACAGTGGAAATAAATTGAAAATAAACGTGATCAAATCATTGTGAGAGATGCTATATATCGAAAACAAACTAATGTTTGAATTTGATCTTGAATTTCATTATCAATTAAAGTATTAAAATATTGTAAACGTTGTAAATTTTCATCAAAATTTTGAAATTGATCATTTGAATAGATTTGATCTTGTTCAATATGAATTAAATTTTCATTTGATTTATTTTCTTGAGCTTTATTTAATGATGAATTTTTCGATTTGGATTTTTTTGATTTTGATGAACAACATAAACGAATACAAAAACTTCTTTGTAATTCATCGATTTCATGTTCAACATCTTTAAGATGTTTACTTGATTTATCCATTTTTGTTTGACATTGTTCTAAAAAAAAACTTTTGATGTTTTTTGTTTTTTTATTAATAGTCTCTTCGATCTTATAGTTCTGTTTTATTGGTCAGTTTACTTTTTTCTCTATGAACAATTAAACAAACCTATTTGTTTTGTTTGTAATGTGTTGACATGATGAGCTTGAGATGCTAGTAGTTGTGATCGTTGCATTGTATTCTCAAGTTCTTTTACTATGGAATTAAAATCATCTTTTGTAAAAGATGTTGGATTATCTGTCATTTTTCTTTCAATATTAATTATCAAAATAAATGAGGCACAAATCTATGAATCATATAAGTAAATGAATATGATCTTTTTAATATGAAATAGTAACTAGAACAATAAAATTTCGATAACATAGCAAAAAGAAATGCGCTTAATGTAAATCTGAATTATCTTTAGATACTAAAAGAAGTTGTTGGGACGATTCATTTGAAGTATTAATATCGTCTGATGGAATTTGATGGATTTCACAACTTGTTGTTGTTAGTTGAGGTGTTGTTGTATTTGTGAAATTAGTAGTCATAGTTGATCGTTTAGATTCTTCGTTATAGTTCATTGTATTTGATCGATGTTGATATCTATTATTAAAACCGGAAAAAACTCCTGTTGGAAAAAAATTATTTTGTCTTGTAGAAATCGCTTGATGATGATGTTGATCGAAAAAAATTGCATATAAATGTTTTCGAAATAATTGTCCTGTTAAAGTGTAAATATAAAAATGTCCAGCATAATAAATTTGTTGCATAAGCATTAAAATAACTTTTCGAAACCAACCAAAACAAGAACGTTCACGACCAGTATAGTTATATATATCATTAATTTCAGTTGGTAAACAAAGAATAAGAAATGTAAATGTTGTTCCAATTAACATCCAACATAATTGTATGTCTTTATCACGTAATTTTATTTTTCTTTGTTCTTTTAATGTTTTTCGAAATGTCGGTGGAATTGTTTCTCTTGGATAAAACGTATAATAATAAAATCTTCCTTTTTTATTATATCGTATTGTTTTTCGTGTTTGAATTATTTGAAATATAATTAATAATGAACATATAAACATAACAGAAAATGGAATAAGAATTAAAAAAATACTTTCAATATATGAATCATAAAAATGAAATAAATTCTTATAGAAAATATTTTCTTCACGTATATTACAATCATACAATACATCTGATTGTTTATCTTTTAGATAAATTTTTTCATAACCATATAAAATATGTCCATTGGCAATAAACACAACAATTATACTAATTAAAACAAACCATTTGCCTTTGTGAATATTACAATAACGCTTTGAGCGTGACGGGCAATAAATTAAAATGAATCGATCTCTAAAAACAACAGAAAAAAAAAAGTTTTCTATTTATTTAATAAAAATGTCATAGAATAGTTAACATTAGAATGATTAATATAAATTTTTAAATAATTTTCTTTTCGTATGCTTTTTTTTTACTAATTAGCTTTTAGATATTATTTAGAAAAAAAACATGTTGTTTTTCAAAAATAAAAATGCTCGCATTTATTTTCATTTTAAAAATTAATTTTTTAATTTATAAAATCTGATTTGAAACGTAAGTGATATTACAACAAGATTGGTTTTTCTAATTATTCAAAATTAACATGAAGGAGCTTTTATATAGCATACTTTTCTTAATAAAAGTTAATAGCATATTTAAGAAAATTGTCATTGATTTAATGTTAGAAAAAAAGTAAACTCCTTCAAGTGTAAAATATATCATAGTGGTATACATTTAGCAACTGTTCTACCATGAATTCCTAAGTACACTGTAACAGATATTTTTTGCGCAAGGTCTATTTATTTACTAGATGTTGTTGTCCATCTTCATCCTCATACTGTGTTGTATCATTTTGAAAAAATGATAAAAAATACTTTTTTCCGTGAAAATATATCAGTTAGAATATACTGCTACATTTACGGCGGAACACCTGTTAAACAAATACTCGTCATTTGGAATATTTTTCATCTGTTTGATAATACTTACACCGATGCTAATGTAAGTACAATATTTGATAAATGATTTGAAGAGTAAATAAGAAATATTATTATTTTACAGACAATTGTATGAACAATAATTAAGTCTATATGAAAACTATATGGTAAATTTTCAATAGTCATTGTTAATAAATGTATTGAATCACTTATTGCTAATATCAAAAAATAAAAGCAGCATGATTTTCGTCCTATATAATGATAAAAATATTTTTGAAAAATTCAAAGAAAATAATTTTAAAAGAGACTTACGAAGAGGTTTTCTTGCAAAAACACAAATACTCAATACACTTGAAATAATTCCAATAAGAAAAATAAATGTACCAAAATAACGTATAATACCATTTGTAAAAGTACATTTTTTATAATCATTTATTATAGAAAAATTTGTATTATTTTTCATTGTTTTCAACACTTTGTTGAATAAACAACACTTACGAATAATATAACGGTTACTGCTAAAAATGATTTAGTTATTAATTTTTACGTTTTTCTTTTCTCTTTTTTAATACTAAAAATATTGGTTCAAGGCTAGCAATTAAATAAAAATGTTTTGGTTCTCGTGTCTAACACTAATGGAATGAATCGAGCAAGAAAAAAAAAAAAAGAAGAGAAAAAAAAAAGAGAACATTGTCTTTGAACTATTCTCTTAGAAAGGCATTCGACTCTTTTTATATAGAGAAACAAAACGTTTGACATTTGCGAGTATGGAAACATTTCCGTTTCTAAATGTTTCATGTTTCCTTTACACACAAACCAATTGTCTACAATGATTTTTTTCTACTATTTGATTGAAAATCAAGTTAACTCTAATTGATAGTGTATTTTATCGATATTGAATATAAAAAAAAAGAACTTGGAGTATAATTTTGTTAGTTAATTGATCGTCTTCAATCATAACTGTGATATACATTCACACTTTAGCAGCATAGAAGAAGTTTAATATAAAATAAAATATATCTATGTGTATGTGCATCAAAAATTCTGATAAAGGAACGTTAGTTTCCCGAGCACGTCAGGCTAAGATAAAAACTAATTTGTATTTAGTTCATTCTCAATTTTATTAATCAATAAAGAAACAATAACAGTTGATCTATTCTGCTTTTCTTATGATAATCACAATATAAATCTACCTAAAAAGCTTTTAGCGTAATTCCTACAGGATTAAAATGTAAAACACGATGCAGCTGCTTTCGCTAATCATGAAATATTACTTTATTCTATCTATTTTGGGACATATTTCTTTACATTGTTTTCACTTATTCGTCGAGAAGTGCAATAAGGAAATAGCTCATATATTAAAACGAGATGTTGTTGATATACAGTCTTTGATCATTTATCAAAAATGTATGTCAAGTCTGTGGGAGGTCCACATTTTTGCTTCTATACTTCAACACTCTTATAGTTTGTGTTTCCCAGAAAAAATTATAATCTAGACTAAACGTAATGCTTCTAAGATATTTTCTATTAGATTATTTTGTCTTCTCTATAACTGTCAGCCATCAAAATATGAATATGAGTTTTAGTTTTATTTCCCCAGAGAAGATTTCAATATTATTGATTTCTATACAAAATAAAAAACGACGTAGGTAAATGCAAAGTGTCAAAAATATGTTAACTGAGGCTGTTTAGAGAATATTGATGAATTGAGGTAACAAAGTTCTAGATCGTAATATATAATAATTTGTGAACCATGCAATGAGACTATTTGGAAATCATATGATTAATTTTTGACCTAATTTGAATTCTCTTTTGCTTACTGATTGAAATTCTATTGTAATTCTGACTTAGTGTTATTTCTAAACCATAATTGATTATTTACTCTCATTTTTCTTTCTTGTTCTTTTAATAAGAATCCGTAACTCTCTATATTTTCGTTCTTCAATTTGATCTTTTAATTTCCGAAAAGTTATTATGTACAACGTTAATTGGATCGAAGTCTATATTCATTTTAGGTCATATTATGTCGTTCTTTTTATTGTTCTAGTACTCCAATAGATGAGTCCATTTTCATGACTGTAAAGTCAAATAGTACTCAATTAAATAATTTATCATAAAAGATAAATCTATTATTTAGAGAAAAAAAAAAGATTTTGTATTACCAAGCTTTTATGAGTCGAATTCGATTGTGTGTTGCAACTATATCAGATTTCTTTAAATTATGAATTAAAAATCAACTGAATTTTATTTTACTCTTTTCAGACAATACTAAACAAAAATTTTATTAAAATTTGAAGATATAACAACTGTCCAGAAATTGGAAATTCATGAAATTCTAGAAAACCAATTAGAATTCACTATTTGGTGCCATTAAATTTGAGTTGTACGTGGCAATATTTTCTAACACCTTCAGTATGATTGTGTCACTGTTTCTGGATCGACTCTCATTGCAGAATTCCTTAAAACCTCTCCGATTACTCGAATTTCAACTCAGTTGCTGTTGACTTTTCAATTACTGGATTGATGAATACTACGAATTTTGAAATCCATTAAAAGTCGTATCGGCTTACGTTTAGGCATTTTCCGTTGAAAAAGGAACTGAAAAATATTTCGGAAGGAAGAGACAATCATCTCCTACATTTCTTCTAGATCTGTTACTGCAAGATATCCTTTTTTTCATTTGTTTGCTCAAATATTATCGGTTACGGCCACATAACGGTCATGAAGATTTTTAGAATTCTGTTACCGTCATGCGTGGTCATGACTTGTGACTAATTTACAGATCTCTAATCTACTTGTGTGCTATTCATTCATATACTTACGTAAATTTGTTCTAACCATAAACTTAACGTTTCTTTTTTAGAAAAAATACGATTCACAAATATTTTCTCATTAGCAGATTATTAATGAAATAGAGAAAAAAAAACAAATTTTAATTTTATCTACTGTTTTATTGATGTATATTTAAAGAAATAGTAGCAAAAGTGCCAAGATACTCTTTACAAAATTAATATGTAAGACATGAGAATGAAGCTTGCTACGGTAACAATATGACTTTCAAAACTTCAATTACTCATATCACACTTTTGTTCACAACACTACTGGTTTGTCCCACCAGAACATCGAGTTAAAATAAAATCAACTATTCAAATATCGAACTATCGCCGGTATAGCGCACATAATCAGGTGTACGGAAAGTTTTGCGACATTGGTG